AAGCTGGTTAGGTCACCCGTCTGGTTGAAGCCTGAAGCCAGGACTAGTTTTAAGCTGTTTCTAGAAATGAGGTCTTTAAGGATCTGAGTCCACTTTATGCGTAAAATGCGACTAAATAGGCCCAAATCAACAACCAAGTCTATGCTTGAGCCACTCCTCCCTTAGGCCACGTTAATATCCATAAAGTAGCATGTTGCAATAAGTAACCAAAACTAGGGTAGTGGGTTTGTAACGTTCACAAACATATATCTTGGTTATGGGATCAAAAACTCTAAGGTTCGACAGAGGGGGCGACTTGATGCTAGACTGTTTCAACCAGACTGGCGTTGTTCGTCACTGGTCACGAAAAGCAGTAACGGCGTTACTCTGTACGTTACCACTAACATGATGGATAGAATTAGTCCAAACTGCAGCGTGGTCCTGCGTTCCTCTCGACGGGACTTCTTATTTCCAATAACGCACGCAAAATAACGTACACAATGAAATGATATAAACGACAGGTAAAAAAAAATGTTACGGTAAATCCCCAGTGTGCTACATTAACGTTAATTGTCCGTAACCCGAACCAACCGGAGACACCGCATGGACCACTGCGCAAGGTATCGCCGCATAGCAGCTGCTTTAAGTCCACACATTTCCCACAAACATACCTGTGGGTCTGTACGGCTCCTCTCTGATGGCGTCCCCTGCGGCAGGAAATGAGAGATAGGACACAGTCCAAGGTTCACCTCTGATTAGTCAGAGGATAGCAATACCGGCGGTGGAGGTGAAACGGTCCTTTATCGACCTACGGAGAGGCTCCGTCCAGAAAGTCTTGTACCGCTGTCAGATCTCTGGACATGAACTAGCAAGGAGACGTACGCCCCCTGCTCCATCTCTCTTCACATCGCTCACTCCTATTTTTTTCTCACAAGCCGATAAACACAATTGCCTACCTACGAACCAACCGCCCGGCACGTCTGTTACGCAACAGCATCGGCTTGAGTAGGCCTATTATCAGAGTAGCTTAGACAGTGCCCAGTGGACATGTGACGTCACTAGTGACATCAACACACAACATGCAGTGTCACTATCCAGGTTCTGTGGTTTTTCCTCAGTTATATAGCTGTAAATAAGCTGCTATCTAGTGAACTGGAAGGAGTGTCATGTGGACAAAGGTGAGGAGATACCTGACATTTCTGTCTGATGCAGCAGCAGCAAGGACAATACTCTGGGAACAGAGCTGTGCATGAAATTCTAGCCTCCCTCTCTTCTCCTGCCCCCCAGCCAGGGTTTGCAGAGAAGAGCAAGCCACCCTGAGCCAAGATGATACTGTTTCCTCATGCTGCGCCTTGGCTCTTTGCCTCCTCCTCATCCCCCACCCCATTCTCTGTCTCTTTTTCACAAACACAACAAACACACTCTAATTTGGACATGTCACTGTGGCTGCAGCTCTGCCCTTATTGAGCCCAGAAGCATGCATAGTTGACAAAGGACAATGATTTAGGTACGCTGCATACGCTCAGCTTGGTTAAACTGGCATTAACTAAGATTTAGCACAAATTCGGGTAAATCAAGTAAAAATTGGCTACAAGTGTTGTCTAGTCTCAGAGACAGGGCAGGAGGGGCAAGGTGGAGCGGAAGGAGAAGAGGAAGGGATACTGCTTGAGTTTGTTTTTGACTCTCACTTCACCCTTAACAGTCGAAACTTAGACAGAGACGTTAGTTAATGCAGCTTTAACAATCTCACTCTCACTCTCACTGTTTGTCACTTTCATTACATTGTCTGCGCTTTACAGCCAAGTCCTAAAATAACTTGTGCAGCTTAGGGGGTTGTTCTAATGCCATTACATTACTACTGAGCCAGCAGACATGCATGGATAGGAGGATGGTAATCACATTATTGTACATGGATTATGACTAATATTATATAGGTAGGGATACGTGATCAAACCCTGCATATTTCAAGTCACCCTGTAATTCAGTTTATGAGCACATGTAGGCATTTTGTGTGTGTGTGCGCTAGTATTCAGTGTTTATCATATTTACTGTTGTCCAGTGCTGTTGCTGGAACAGTAATCAGTGGCAGATGTCTTCTCCATTGTTAAACAGGCATTTATTAGAATGAGGGAGAGCTCAGGGGCATCCAAAGGCCTGTCCCAGTTTTCAAGTGTTCAGAATTAGTCTTAAGACGAGTGCTCATGCCCATTGTTTTGACAGGCAGTTTACTGTCCCATTACTCACCTCTGTCCTCAGCCAGACTGACCTATTTTGACAAACATGTTTTAATTATACAAGTTATATAACTATAATTTTTCTTATCACTGAGACTAAAATAATCCAAACTACTGCATGTTTACATGTCCCACCAGTGGTGACAGATCTACTCAGATCCTTGTGCGAAAACAAATACCAGCATACCGATAGCAAAAGTAATAGCACAGTAAGAAAATATAACATTACAAGAAAATATAATCCTACTTATCCTAATCCTACTTATGTAAAAGTACTTAGGTATTATCAGCTTCAGGTACTTAAAGTATCTTAAAATAAAAACAGTGGTTCTGCAGTATTTGTTCCCTGTGACTGATTTATTATTATAAAGGGCATTATTAGACTGTTAGTAGTGATGCATCAATGTTTAAGCAGAATATCACTGTTACAGTTGAGATGGAGCTGGTTTTAACTTCTTTATATGCAGTTAAGTAGTTTAGTACAGCGGCTGAGAGACTCTGAGCAGGACCCCTCCCAAGGTAAACATGAGAGGCTGTCAGATGATTAATGGAAGAGGAAAAAGTAAAAAAAAAAAAAAAGATTTGGAGCTGCAGATTTTTACATACTGTTTTGAATGTTAATGCTTAATTTGCAAATGAACTAATAAATATAAGTATCAGTATATGTTTAAACTGTACTTAAATACAGTACTTGAGTAAATGTACTTTCAACCCTGTTAGCATGTTTGTAACTTACAATAAGGGAAGAGAGGAGCTGCTAAATAAACACACGTTTAAAAGAGAGGGTATTAGCTGCACTCACACAACATACACCAAGACGGCACAAGGATCTCATCCATCCCACACCCATATGTACAATGGGTAGCATTTCTTTGCCATCTTTGTCCAGACATGTGGTAAATACATTCCTCTCTGTCATTTGAATTTTAACACTGAAATGAAATTTAACACTGGAGCAGCGAGAACTGCTTCTCCCTCCCAATCTATAAGGCACTGAACCCTAATCAACAGCCAGTCAAGCAGGGATCCTATCAGATAGTACAGCCAAGACCTTCAAAAGCTTAAGATCTGCCAGCTCGCCCTCACTGTGGCTCTCACCCTCACCCACTGATTGTCTAGACACCAAAGAATAATCTTCCCCTTTCAGGGCCCCAAAGGCAGACTTCTGTGTGGGGACTGTTCCCCCATGGCTGCCTTCAGTAGCATTGGGTTTCACCACATTTAAGTTTAATCAATATAACTCTCCTTAAATTTTATCCATCTTCAGAACTGTATCAAATTCTGCTATACAGTACATCTGTTACTATTCAACAATACTAACATCCATCATTTTAAGTAGAAAACAAAGTGCTGATGTGCATGGAGACCATTTTTGGGATCACAGCAGAGAGAACACTACACAGATATGAAGACAGATAGTTTTTAATTAAATGATAAAACAATAATAAAATAATCATATTTTATCCCCTTGACAAATAGTTTTGACATCAAAGACAATAGAAAAAATATAAAGTTGTCAACTGTCAGAAATGACAAATAGATTTGTACTTTCAGTATATAGCACTCGTCCAGGCACTTAAGCGAACTCAAAGTGCTTTACAATATTTGCCCAGTCACCCCATTCACACACACAACTGGGGTTCAGCATCTTGCTCAAGGACACTTCGACATGTGGGTTGGTTAAGCCAGAAATCAAACTGCCAACCCTCCTGAACCACAGCAGCCCCCGTTTATTATTATGAGCTTACTCAACTGTGTACCTGTACACAAACTCCATTTTTACAGCTTGTATACATATATGATGTACTGTTATTCCTAGTAAGCATCTATGCAAGTCCAGGGAAAGACTTTATATCAAAACAACATGATATGCAGGACCGTAGATACTATACTTGCACAAACTGTGTACAGAATACTACCAGGCAGTACAGTAACCTATACTGCATGATATTGTCATGTCTGTAGCACTGTTATCTCAGGGTTTATTAGGCCATTGTGGACAAATTTGCAAATCAATGAGCAGGGCTGCTTTGTAGCTATAAATCAAATTTTTACATTTCATTTCCCCAAAACCAGACAGTCCCATGTGTTTTATTCATCAGGCCACACATACTCACACTTAACATTAAGCCCCTCACACCTCTCTAACTCGCCTACCACCTCTGTAATAGTGTCACCCAAAGATAAATACTGTACAATCTGCCTGCTGCACATCTAGAAATAGACAGAGGTATTTTCCTTTTGCTGCCCCCTGGTGTCTTTAGAAAGTAATGACGGCCTGTTAGAGAACAGGTGCATTGGGAGGCCTTTCAACTGAACAATTCCTGTGGACAAAACACAAGGTGAGACCCATCTCTTACATAATGCACAGGCCACTGTTGTGTTGTTTTGGTCTTTGTGTGTCAACTTGCATGCACGCATGGCCTTTATTTTAAAATCTATGCCTCCACTTCAAGTGCACTTTCACCTATTACACTCTTCTGTGTTTTTTCTCTGTCTTTACTGTTTTCTTCTTCAGTGTAACTATGCCCTAAAGCTGGGCCCCAGCTTCTGTCCAGCTCAAGTGGAGTGGGGACAAAAGCTGACTCACGTATTCATTAACTCACATGGCTGCACACTCGTCCACAAATGAAACACTTGTATGAATATACACACATGCACACACACAACAGCTACATGCATGATGCACCTGTTCTCTTATGCCTACACATCTGAAAATGTTTTGCAAATTATAGCAAGAATGAGCCAGTCATTCC